ACAGTCAGCTCCCAGTCTTGTTTTTGCTGACTATATAGAGCTCCTCCATCTTTGGCTGCAAAGAATATAATCAATGTGATTTCGATATTGACCATCTGGTGATGTCCATGTGTAGAGTCTTTTTGTTGTGTTTGTTATGACCAGTGTGTTCTCTTGGCAAAACTCTGTTAGCCTTTGCCCTGCTTCATTTTGTACTCCAAGGGCAAATTTGCCTGTTACTCCAGGTATCTCTTGACTTCCTACTTTTGTATCCAGTCCCCTGTAATGAAAAGGACATCTTTTATGGGTGTTAGTTCTAGAAGGTCTTGTAGGTCTTCGTAGAACCGTTCAACTTCAGCTTCTTCAGCATTACTGCTCGGGGCATAGACTTGGATTACTGTGATATTGAATAGTTTGCCTTGGAAAAGAACAGAGATCTTTCTGTTGTTTTTGAGATTGCACCCATGTACTGCATTTTGGACTCTTCTGTTGACTACAAGGGCTACTCGATTTCTTCGAAGGGATTCTTTCCCACAGTAGTAGATATAATGGTCATCTGAGTTAAATTCACCCATTCCAGTCCATTTTAGTTCACTGATTCCTAAAATGTTGATGGTCATTCTTGCCATCTCCAGTTTGACCACTTACAATTTACTTTGATTTATGGACCTAACATTCCAGGTTCCTATGCAATAGTGACTCTTGGAGGGCACAACAAAATCTTGTGCACACAGGACCCAGGAGAAAGGAGAAGTGACCCCACAAAAGCCTGAGCCAGACTTGCCTGTGAGTGTCCTGGAGTATCCAGCAGAGGCATGAGTTGACAGTGGCCTGCTGCAGGATCAGGGGCACTGACCAAAACAGTCCTGGGAACCACAGTGTGCTGGCATAAGTCCTTTCGAAGGAGGTCACCATTACTGCCATTACCCCTACCATAGTTTGGCCTCAGGCCAATCTACAGGGAGGGAACATAGCCCCATCCATCAGCAGAAAATTGGATTAAAGACTCACTGAGCATGGCCTTCCTTGCCAGAGCAAGACCCAGTTTTCCCCATAGCCAGTCGCTCCCATCAGGAAGCTTCCACAAGCCTCTTATCCTCACCCATCAGAGGGCAGACAGAATGAAAACCACAATCACAGAAAACTAACCAAACTGATCACAGGGATCACAGTCTTGTCTAACTCAAGGAAACTATGAGCCATGCCATGTAGGGCCACCCAAGATGGATGGGTCATGATGGAGAGTTCTGACAAAACGTGGTCCACCAGAGAAGGGAATGGCAAACCCCTTCAGTATTCTTGCCTTGAGAACCCCATGAAAGTTATGCTGATGTGTTACAATGAGTGTATAATGAAGCACAAGGTCTAGTGCAAGTCGGCTTCTCCACCATCTTGTACTCTTTTGGTTTTAGTCTGTTTATGTCGTGCCCTTGGGCTATGTCATTCTTTCAAAGGTTGTGCCCTACCCCCTTCCCTCCTGTTTCACTACCCTGCAGTGGTGCCCATTAAGAAGCACCAACTGGAAGACCAAGATGAAGTAGAGTAAAAATGAGACAACAGAAGCATCCAGAGATCAACACTTGTCCTAAAATTTTCCCTGTGTGACCATGGGGGCAAGGTCTCTACCCAGCTCTGCCCACATGTTCTCTGGGGCTCGTCACATTCCCTCTTCCCACCACACTTGGCCCTGAGCTCTTCTTCTTTCCCACACTCATCCTCTTTTCTCTCTCTCTCTCTTAATTCACTAGACACTTATCTTTTCCAAGAACTCTTCCAAAATTAGGAAGGGCATTGTTTATATAGTGTTAAAAGCATAACCACTGGAGTCAAACAGACCTGGGCTGTAATCTTAGCTCTGCCACTCGCTGGCTTAGTGATGCAGACAAGGGATGCATCCTTCCCCACCTGTGAAACATTAGTAATTATGTCAACCTGGCAGGGTAGTAATAAGGATCAAATGAGACAATATTTGAGCCTCAATCAGGGTAGTTAACGTTAGCTGCTATAACAAAAATTCCAAAATCTTGTGACTAGATACAGTAAGAGGTCACGACTCACTCAAGTCACAGGCTAATGTACATTGGGTGTCTTTCCTGTATAGCTCTCCCCCAAGAGGTGAGAGGACCCAAGTTCCCAAGTTGAACCCAAGTTCAAGGACCCAAGTTCCTTCCATTCCCTTGAAGTCCTCCAATCAGCCCTCTCCACTGGCTGACAGAATAGCAAAGACAGAGTGAAGAAGCCAGGCCAGGAAATAGCTCCCATCAATTCAACTCTACATTAGTTAAATCCCAGTCACATGTTCCACCTAATTGCAAGGCAAGCTAGGAGATTTAGTTGTCATGTGTATCCAGAAAGAGGAAATGGGATTGCTAACCATCTAGCCAGTCTCAGATACATTAAGTATTTAGCAGAAGGACTGATACACAGTAAGACCTCAGTACATAAAAGATATAATTACTTTCTATTGGTACTGATATGAATACCAGAAATCACTGAACCTCAGCTGGACTTTTCACAACATTGAGATTGAAAACTGAATACAAACCAGAATAAACACTGAATTTCTTAAAAGAAAATGATATGGCAATCATACATCTGACACAATTCCTGTTCTAGGTGCTTTCTTTGAGGCACCAGGATACACTGGAATAGTCTACATTCAACTGCTGACTCTGCCCCAAGCAAATCATTAAATTATATCAGTTATGGTGGTTTCCTTTTTTAAAATTAGGGATGCTAATTTACCCACTTTACAGGATGCTTTTTAAAAATGCCACATTCCCTCTTACCTAAGCAAATGCTTCCCTCTGTCTGAACACTCTTGTCTCTTCTTCACCCAGCCACCTCCTACTGATTCCTCAGGCCTCAGTGTAGATGTCACCTCCTCCAGGAAGCCTTCCTTATCCTCAACCACAGTCATGGTCGAGTGTCTGTTTCCTGTGTCCCCATGTGAGCTGTACTTCCCTTCCCAGAACACTTACCACAGCATGTTAAAAATCTCTGTTTACTCTCTGTCTCTAGTTGAGTGTTCATTTCTTGGAGGAAGGGACCTTGTTTTCATCACCATTTTATCCTCAGCCTCAACAATGTGCAGGCACACAATATCCCCAGGCACATAATGATTTGCAGTAAATGTATGTCATAAGAATGCACTAAGAAAAAAAATAATAAATTAAGAATCCTGATCCTTCTTAAACTGGTGAGGGGAGTACAGACTTGGAAACTCTTACAACTCAACACAAAACTAAAAGTAAAGACAAGTTTAGAAAGACACTGTATAGCATATGCCGCCTTATAAAGGTCACTGGGAACTAATACGTCATTTCAGACAGTAGCCACACCCTTGGGTCATGCCTTGGTACTTGTGAGCAACTGGACATCTTTCAATATCTCAGTTGAGCAGCAGAGGATGCAAAAAATATCCTCATGCATTAAAAACTCTGGGACTCTTATCCTCTGTGCTGATGCGAAAGTGTAACAACAAGAGCTGGCCACTTAAGGTGAACTTGACTGACCATATGTCCTACTGGGCTTGTATATATCACTCTCCACTATCTATGTGGCTGGTGCATCCCTGACCTTCAATGACCACTATCAAAAAATGATGTCTTTCTAGTCCCAAGGTAGACCCTTAGATGCAGGACTGTACTTCCATGCTCCCCCCCCCCCCCCACGCACAGTCTGAACCACAGAGGTGAAGCAGACAGTTTGTCCCCCCATACTCTGATTATCTTCTATGCACCTAGAGCAAAGTCTCAGATGAGCCAAGTGACAGAGATATGAGTGACTGACGATGTTTACCCAGTTCTCCCAGAGCACCGTTGTTCAATCACCAAGTTGTGTCTGACTCTTTGTGACCCCATGGACTGCAGCATGCTAGGCTTCCCTGTCTATATCTCCCGGAGTTTGCTCAAATTCATGCCCATTAAGTCAGTTATGCTATCAAACCAGGTTCTCATCCTCTGCTGCCCCCTTCTCCTTTGGCCTTCAATCTTTCCCAGCATCAGGGTCTTTTCCAATGAATCAGCTCTTCATATCAGCTGGCCAAAGGATCGGAGCTTCAGCTTCAGCATATTCAGGGTTGATTTCCTTTAGGATTGACTGGTTTGATCTCCTTGCTGTCCCAGGGACTCTCAAGAGTCTTCTTCAGCACCAAAGTTTGAAAGCATCAATTCTTCCACGCTTGGCCTTCTTTATGATCCAACTCTCACATCTGCACATGACTACTGGAAAAACCATAGCTTTGAGTATACAGACCTTTGTTAGCAAAATGATGTCTCTGCTTTTTAATACAGTCTAGGTGTGTCATAGCTTTCCTTCCAAGGAGCAAGCATCTTTTAACTTCATGGCTGCAGTCACCATCTGCAGTGATTTTGGAGTGTGTGTGGAGGTGTGGGGGTGGTAACACGAGATTTCAGGCAGGTGAGGGAAACCAAAAAAGTCTGGAAGACGTCATGAGTACCGCTTCGAAAACATTAAGCAGGTAGGAGACTGCCTATTTTACTGTTAAGTTTAGCTCCGAGCCCTACACCAAGGTACTTGGCAATGCCAAGGCTCACACATACTGTCCTCTCACACATTCCCTGGGCACAATCTCCTTCCCCAACTCGTACCTCCGTACAATTTGCTCTGACACCCTCACCTCACCTTCCGCGCCCACGGGGCAAGGCTGTCCCTCGCCTTGCCCCTGTGGGCAATCTACCCCCTTGCCCGAACCTGTGCCCCAAAACACACACAAACACACACCCTCCTCCAGGCTACCCAGATTGCTTTCACTCGATTGCACTAGAGGCCCCGGAAGGTGAGGAAGGTGAGAGCTGACCAAACCCGGTCCCGGCCGGGGACAGCAAGACCCCGCCCTGGCGCTGCCCAGCTTCCTCTCCACGAGCTCGGGCAGTCGGCGCACAGGGCGGCAGGCTCGACTCCGTGACGCCGCGGCGTGTGGGCGGGGCGTCTCGAGGCCCCGCCCTTCTGACGTCAGCCTCTCGGGGCGTGAGCGGACTCGCCAGGCTGAGGTTTCAGTCGCAGCCGAGTAGAGCCGCTGCCGGAGGCGAGCTTCTCGGCTCCGGCTTTGGCCCCGACACGGGAGAATGCGGTGCGCCCAGGATGCTGCCGCGCCAGATAGTGAAGCTGGCGGCGCTCCTCAGCCTGCTCCTCGGCTCCTGCGCGCACGGTAAGGATCTGGGTCTAGCCTCGCCCTCCGCGCCCATCCCGCTCCCTCTTCCACCGGTTGTCAACTGTGCATTAAAGTTCTGCCTCCCACGGAGAACCCCCTCTGACTGACCGGCCCTCTGTGGAGACAGCCGCCCATTATCTCCCCCCTCCCCGAATCTCCTGCGTTCTGGCAAGCCTGAGTCTCAGGCTCACACGTTGTAGACGTCTAACAGGCTGAGATTGAGTGGGGTAGTGGGGAAGTGTGGATAGAGAAGTTAAATGACCACCCCACACCACCCCACCCCCGCTTCAACTCACAGCCCACCCACGTCCCGGTGAGTCATAAATTCAGCCCTGACCCTTTTGTTGTTCTAGTTCAAATTATGGGACTGGTGGTCCCTCTGGGAAATTACTTTGATCTCAGTCTAACTACTTTTCCTTAGTTCTCCGATTAACCTGTTTCTTCCCCCGGGCCATGTCACCCCTCAACTCTTTTCCTCCACCATCACCTGTCACCCCCATCTTATCATCCGTTCTCCTCCTTTAGCCCCCAAAGCATTCCCACTGCCACCTGCATTCTCCTCCCTACTGTTACCCTTTAGCTCTCCTAACCCAGCCAGATGTCCTGGAAAGTTTCTGCAATTGAAAAGGCTAAATCCTGAAGGGAGAGAATGAAAGGGCGGGGAGTCCCAGGAACAGAGGCAGAGAGAGCAGGGAGACAGCCAGAATATGAAGTAAAACGTGAGGTCACCGGTCATGTGATCGAGAGCTGAGCTGGGGATGTGTAGCCCAAACACCACAGAGACCCACTGTACTTTTCACTTTCCATATACTGTTCTGAAATTGAGAAACAGACTTGAGGACCGAAGACAGTATAAGAAAGAAAGCAAGATGTGCTTTCTAAGTGAGAACGACAGTCAGAAAAAAAAAAGAAGCATTATTAGAGATATGATAAGTTGGAGAACCAGGGCAGCTTGGGAGTCTCTGTCAGATGCAGAGACATTAAGGGATTGGGGAGAGAAGAGGAACTGGGTGTTGACACTGGCCTTGACTTGCTTCATTGCACTTAAAGGGCAAATCTTCATTGCAAGATTCTTAAAGTAGTTGTATTTATCGCATTCTTACAAATGAGAAGATTTCTGCTAGGTTAAATGATTTGCCCAAGTCACACTAGCAAGTGCTAGTTTGCAGCTCTTGAAGTTAATTTTCCTTGATGAATGGTGTGTGGAGGAGGGAGGGGAAGACAGGAAGTGGAGAGAGGCTTTGGTATTTAGTATCTTCCCTGGTGGCTCAGGTGGTAAAGAATCTGCCTGCAATGCAGGAGATGAGGGTTCAATCCGTGGGTCAGGAAGATCCCTTGGAGGAGGAATTGGCAACCCACTCCAGTATTCTTGCCTGGAGAATTCCATGGACAGAGGAACCTGGCAAGCTACAGTCCATGGGGTCTCAAAGAGTCTGACACAGCTGAGCGACTAACACACACACACACATCTCACCTTGGAGCCAAGGGTGCCAGTTCTTTGTGGAAACGTCCTCAGCCCAGTCTAGGATCAGGACTGTTGTACTCAGGCTGAGCCTGGATATCTGGCTGCAGTAAAGCTCTCCTGGAAGCTGGGGAATGGGGCAACTACTCAACTTGGGCTTCTGTGAAGAGAAACAGGTAGATGCCAATGAGGAGGATATCTGTGTACCAAAGAACTCCAGAGAGGGGGGCCTTGGGTTAAGGCCAGAACTGGGGCCAGAGTGGGAACCTGATGTGGGGATGGGAAGCAGACCTTGGGATGCGGCTGAAGCAGGTGCAGGGATTGGGCACAGCCAGGGACCAGCTCATCTGAGAGCTCATTGTGGGCAGAGATTAACCCTCTGCCCCTACCTTCTTGCCTGGAATGCATCATACCCAGCTTGTCTCTTCTCACTTCTGCTTTTGATCCCAGATAGCTTAGGATGGTGATTTAAGGACACATTAGCTCTGGGATAAGATCCATCTGGATTCAAAGGCCCATTCTACCCCTTACTATCCCCACTGACCTTGGGCAAGTCACTTAAAATCTCTGAACCTTCATTGCTTCTCTAGTAAACTTGGGGTAATAGATGCCTACCTTGTGTGACTACTGTGGTTATTAAATGAGACACAGTATATGTAAAGTACTTAGCTGAGTGCTCAATAAATGGGAGGTGTTAGAATGCTTGGGCTTCCCTGGGGGCTCAGTGGTAAAGAATCCGCCTGCAATGCAGGAGACTTAAGAGACATGGATTCAATCCCTGGGTTGGGAAGATCCCCTGGAGGAGGGCATAGCAACCCACTCCAGTATTCTTGCCTAGAGAATCCCATGGACAGAGGAGCCTGGCAGGATACAGCCCATAGAGTCCCAAAGAGTCGGACACGACTGAAGCGACTTCGCAGGCAGGCAGAATGCTTGCAGCCATCAGCAGCAGCATCTCTTCCCCGGGGTGGGTCAGGGGAGGCTCTGCTACCTCTAGTACTGACACTCTCCTCTCTTTGGACAGAACTGCCCAGACCTCCTTCTGTGTGGTTTGAAGCAGAATTTTTCCACCATGTCCTCTACTGGACACCCATCCCAAATCCGTCTGAAAGTACCTATTATGAAGTGGAGCTCCTGAGGTAAGCAAAAAGGAGGGTGGAGAAAGGAGTTAGATGAGTGAGGAAGTGGAAGACTGCATCCCCTTCCACCCTGCTAGCATGGGAAGATACCTGCCTTGTTACTGAAATGACACCAGGAGGGACCCTGGCACATATCCATCAGTTGACAAGTACTGATCAAGTCTCATGTGTGCCAAGCAGTATACTGGGAGCTTGGGATGAGAAAGCCACGCCTTTACCCTCAAGACTTTTCCATCTTGTTGGAAAAACAGGAAAAGTGTCCATAAGACAATTGGAGAACAAGGAAGCCCCAAGGACTGCAGGTGAAATTGGGAGAAGGAAGGAAGTGGGCTGTGTTGCAGACAGTAGTAGCAAGTCTTCCTGAAGGAGTTGGCATTTGAGCTACTCATATTCCAATCTGAGAGTCTTCTGGACCACAGAGAAACTGACTCAGAGCCCCAGAACCAAGGGAGATCCACTTGCAACTGGATGCCCCATACTAGAGGGAATACCCTGAGGGCTGTATTGTCATTCGAGCTCTCCCCTGGCCCCTTGCTTCCCTCCTAAAGGAGGTAGGTTGAAGCACAAGTTCCTCTCCCCATGCCTACCCTGCTCTCTCGCAGGTATGGAGTAGAGCCCACCTCCTGGAAGCGCATCCTGAGCTGTAGCCAGATGCTGGTGATGTCCTGTGATGTCACCATGGAGACCCTGGACCTGTACCGCAGCAACGGTTACCGAGCCAGAGTCCGGGCAGTGGACGGAAGCCAGCATTCCAACTGGACCTTTCCTGAAACCCGCTTCTCCGTGGATGAAGGTGCTTCTCCTCCCCTGGGCATGGAGCATGGCTTTCAGGCTCCTTTCCAGCCAGAAACTCTAGTCTAGACCTTTGCTGTCTGTTCTCATAGCTTGCCACATCCACCTGGCTTTCTAGTGAGGGATTTAGTTGCTCAAAGAAACCTGAGTCAGGACTTTGGAGAAAGTTTAGATGAAAATAGCCAAGTTGTTCAAGATTTAAAAGGGAACTGAAGTTGTTTATCCTACAGAAGAGAAGTCTTGGGGTGAGTTGGAACAGCTGAATCATGAGGGCCAGATTGGTATACTTGTAGGGTTCTGGGAGAGGAAGTGAATCCATAAGCACTCAGCATTGGGCCACAAGCAATAGGCAGAATTTGAATCTGGTCCTGCTGCCTTTAGTGAAGAGCTCCCTGAGATCAGGGTGTGGGGCTTTGAAGCAGTGAAGTGCTACTGAAACCAAGTTGGGAGTTTCTCTCTGCAGAGAGTAGTGAAAAGGATAATAAGCCCCAAATGTGATAGGATTCTTTCATTCTGCAGATTGGGACCGACTATGCTCTTATGTGTATGGCAAGCCTGCTCTGCAGAAGTCAGAATGATGCTCTAGGAGGTCATTGTCTCCCAAATGCCTGTTCACAGGGCGGTACTTCACTAGCTGCAGAAACATGACTAAGGAGTGTGTTTAAAATAGATGTTGCCAGGGCCCCGCTTCCAAAATTCAGATGCACTGTGTCTTGAGTGGGTCCAGGCATCTGTTTTTAGCACTCTACCCCCAAAATTCCTTATGTGCTGCCAGGTTGGGAGACCTGTAATAGAGGTTTTAGAGTGGGAAGGGCTTGACCTTGGAGGCAGGAATGGATGGGGTGCCCGGGCCCTCCCCGGCCCAGTGGCCTCATGGTTCTGTCTCCCACCCAGTGACTCTGACGGTTGCCAGCGTGAAGCTGGAGGTGCACAACGGTAACATCGTGGGGGCCATCCAGCTCCCCAGGCCCGAGGTGGCCCCTGAAGGTGACACGTATGAAAACATCTTCCACAACTTCCGGGAGTACCAGATTGAGGTTCGCAAGGTGCCAGGACACTACGAGGTATGAGATTCTCCCCGGTCAGGCTCCCCTGTCACCTGGGGCCGGAAGTCCCTTTTTGGGGAACTTCACCTGCAGAGTCCAGGGAGGTTGCGTGGCGGAGGTGGATGGGGAGGGAGGGTTGAGATGGCCTCAGTCCTCAAGTATGTGCTTCTGCCAGGTCGCAGGGAAGACAGTGCCTGCTAGGTGTCTGTGGGACATTGTATGACTACAGGGGTGGGGGGGGCATTGTATAGCTATGGTTTCCAAACCTCTTGTATGTGGAGACTTTATTTTCTTTTATAGCTGGGGAAATGAGGCTCCAGGAGGCCCTCTAAGCACACTCCCATAAGGGAGAGACCTGGAACCACAAAATCCATCTTCTTACCTGTCTACCACGGGCTTCCCAGGTGGTGCCCAGTCATAAATAACCCTCCTGCCAATGCAGGAGATGTAAGAGACACATGTTCGATCCCTGGTTTGGGAAGATCCCCTGGAGGAGGGCACCACAAACCACTCCAGTATTCTTGCCTGGAGAGTCCCATGGATAGAGAAGCCTGGTGGCCTATAGTCCATGGGATCACAAAGAGTCAGACATGACTAAATCAACTTAGCATGCATGCATGCATGCATGCATCCGTTTCCACCACAGTTGACTCCAGCCCCTTCTGGGAAAGTCCTCAGTATCTATAAAACACTTCCTTTTCTCTTTTAGTACAAAATAAATCATGGTAATCACAGAGATCTTGGGCTGCATTGATAAAGCAGGGTTTGTCAGCTTAGAAAAAGAAAACTGAAGGAGGTTGACTTCCAGTGCTTTAGAGTATCTCTAAAGGCCCCTCTGGCTCCCATGTGCCATGGAACAAGGATATCATGTTTGTTGCTCTGGTTGTTTTCATTTCAGGCCCATGGCAAGGTCAAAAATGAAAGCTTCAAACTCCCAGTCCCGAGAGGGGTGGGAGAGTTCTGTGTCAGGGTGAAACCGTCTGTCAGCTCCCGAGTGAACAAGGAGGTCTGGTCCAAGGAAGAGTGCATCTTGCTCACCCCGCAGTGTGAGTTGGCTGGGGCTGCTGTCTGGGCAGGAGGGAGGCAGGAGGGAAGGAGGCAAGGCTGCCGCCGAGGGGCACTGTGCTGGCCCCCCACCCGCCAACACAGCCCTCCATCCTCACCCAGCCCCGGTGAAAGAGCTCCTGTTGTCCCGATTTTAAAGATACGGGAACTGAGGCTCAGTACCTGTAAGTGACTTCCAGGCTGTGGTCACAGCGCCAGGTCTCCCGGCTGTGCGGGTGCTTCCACTGGAGCCCAGCTAAGCTCCCAGGAGCCCTTCCCAGCCCCACTCAGTCAGCTGTGATGGTTCCTGTTTGTCACAGTCCTCAGCTGAATGGAGCCGGGGACCCCAAGGGCTTCTCAGAACTTTCCCTGCTCCCCACACCCCCCCCCCCCCCCTCCAGAGGAAGCAGAACTGAGCTGGCTCTTCTCTGCAGTTACAAAAGTCAGCAGACACTGTTTCAGGCTCCCAACCAAGTGCTGGGTGGGGTGGGGGCGGGGGTGGTGGGCAAGGGAGTATGGGGTGTGAAGGTCATGGTTTTGCCTGCAAGGATCTTACAGTCTGCCTAGGAAGACAGGGCCTGGCAAGAGGAGGCCGCATCTAGCTACTTAGGACAGTGTATGTCGAGTGCCTGGCAGGTGACGTCACAGTCAGTGGACTGGGAGGGTGCCTGGTCCAGTGGGGGCAGCGTCCAGCAATGACCAGAGGGACTCCTTGCTTTTCTACAGCACATTTCAATTTATGGCAGACACTTACAAGCTGGTTGTTATTTAAGCCTCACTCTCACTGAAGCAGAGCAAGGCACTATCTCTGTGCCAGGTGGTCTTAGACACTTTTTCAGCATCTGCTCACTAATACAGAAATAGTTTTGTGTACAGGTCTGGGTTCAAATCTCAGCCTCACCACTTATGCAATATATCACCTTGGACAACTTACTTAACCTCTCTGGGCCTCAGGGTGCTAGTCTATAAAAATAAGGGTGGTAATAGTATTTACCTCTTAAGGTAAGACTAAGAATCGGATCACATAAGTATTGTAGTCCCCCCTTATTCCCAGGGCATACGTTCCAAGACTCCCAGTGGCGGCCCTGCAATCATGGATATATACTGTTTTTTCTTGTGCATACATACATATGACAGAGTTTAGTTTATCAATTAAATTAAAGATAATTTTAAGTTAAGAGAATGTCCAAATTGCCAGCATCATTCCCCTTGCACCTTGGGGCCATGATTGAGTAAAATAAGGGTTACTTGGACAAAAACACTGAATACCACAACTGCCCATCTGAGGCAGCCCCTAGGTGACTTACAGGCAGGATCTTCTGGACAAAGGGAGGATTCGTGTCCCAGGTGGGACAGTGATAGAGTGGGACAGCATAAGATTTCAAGTTACTCAGAATGGCACATGATTTAACTTATCAATGATTGATTTCTGGAAATCGCCCATGTAATGTTTTTGGACCACAGGTAACTGAAACTGCAGATTGGGGCGGGGGGCTGTTTTAAAGGGCTTGGTAGATGATAAATGCTGTGTACTTCACAGCCACATGTGAGGTAGGCACTATTATTGTGACCATTTTGTAGATGGTAAAACTAAGGCTCAGAAAGACTGAGTAATTTGTCCACAGCCTCACAGCTAGTAAGTGGTAGACCTGGGATTAGAACCCAGGTCTGGCTGCTCCCAAAGCCTCCCTTCTTACCTGCTGTGCCAGCCTGCACCACAGCTGTGTCTGCCGTCATGTGAGTTCTGTGCAAAGACTGGTGGCAGAGCCCATGTGTCTAGTGAGGGATCCTTCAGGGTGGAGGTTGGAAAGTCAGGCAGGGATTCCCAAGAATCCAGGGACTTCCCTGGTGGTACCGGGGTTTAGGTTCAATCCCTGGTCAGGAAACTAGGCTCTGCATGCCACAATTGAAAAAAAAAAAGAATGTAGTGGTGGCCTCCAGAGTTGTGGCCTTGAGGTAGCCTAAGGGGTTGGGAGGTGGTTACTCGGCCACTCACTGAGAGGCTCCTGAGAGGGGCCGCGGGGACCGCCCCTCCACATCCCATGGCCTACAAACCCATCTCTCTGGACCCTGCAGATTTCACAGTGACCAACCTCAGCATTTTTTTCACCTTCGTCGTGCTACTCTATGGAGCCTTGGCCTTCTGTCTTACCTTCCAGTTATATCTGCGGCGCCGGGGGAAGCTGCCTGCTGTCCTGGTAAGTCTTGCACAGAGGCCACCGCCCCATCCTTCCTTCCCAGCCCCACCTTCCCAGCTTCCCTAGGAGTCCTCCCAGGACTCCTAGAGGCAGGGCACAGCCTCCCAGGCAGTCCATACCCTCAGCCCTGATGTTATCAGAGGCACCTTCATCAAGCACCATGGGGTCAGAGGGAGAACTTGAATGCCAAGCCCAGTACAGAGAATGTTGCCTTGTAGTGGCCCAGAAAAAACACAGTAATCCCAACCCGCCTTACGTCATTTTGTTACTATTTGCTAATAACTGGCCGCAGACCAGCCCGTTGGCATTAGTACCTCGGAGACAGGCAGTTACAAGACTCACTTTACAACAGAGGGAACTGAGGCAGAAAGAGATCGTTACATGCAGAGAGCCCCACAGCCAGCAAGAGTCAAGGCCAGAGCCCAGCCTTGCCCATCCCTAGAGGCTGTGCTGAGGGCTCTGGAAGAGAACGACAAGGGGCTGTGGTCAGGGTGGAGAGAGCGGCATGGAGAGGATGCTGAGAGGAGGGCTTCCTGGAGGAAGCAGCATCTCCAGCCCTTCCTGGGAGGGGTGGGGGCGGGGGCGGGTCTCCTCTGACTGCACAGTGCTGACAGATGCTGATTTGTAGTCAGTCAGCCTCTGAAATTCAACTTGTCCCATTGAGCAGTGTCTCCAGACCTCAGTCCTTCTCTGGCCTGGGATTCAGAGTGGACCAAAGGTGGTCCCCACAACTGACATTATTGGGATGGTCAAGGACTCAGCTAGAAGGGTGGGCTCTGTCAGGGAGACAGGAGCCCAGGGAAGCTCACAAATGGAAGGTAGCCTTCCACAGGGTTCCCAGGATCTCTAGGGAAAATAAGGCAAGTGGCAAAGGCCCTCTGAAATGATTTTGAGGAAGAATTCCTGGATGGGCATGGAGCGGGGAGAAGCGGGGTGAAGCTGCCTGGTGAGTGCACCGTGGGGCCTGCCCTCAGGGATGGGTAACTGGAAAGCAGAGCAGTGGGAGAGGACCACTGGATAGAAGTGTCTCAGTTGAGCTTGAGGAAAGACATCTAGTAGGAGAGTGGGCAACGGAACTACAGTTACCAAGCATCTACAACACGCAAAGTGTTGTACGGAAAGCAACTGAGTAAGTGGGCCCAAGAGGCTTGATTAGGTCTGGAGGGACAGCCAATGAATCAAATATTAACTTTAATGGAAACCAGTGAAATAGACATAGATGTAGATGCAAAAATGCCAAAGGAGATGACAAGCAATCTGTAGTTTTTTTGTTCCTTCTGAACATTTGGATCAGAGAATTAAATCAACTATTAATTTTAATACAAACCTTGGCCTAGATGACATGGCTGATAAGAGGCAAAGCTGGAATTTGAACCCGGAAAGTCTGGCTCCAGAATGTACATCCTTAGTCACCAAGCTATGTAATAGGGATCCAACCAGTAAGAGTTGCATTAGAGTCATCACATACAGAGGGGTCTAGACGTGCATCAGTGAGTCAATAAGTCAGTCTGTAAACCTTAGGAGTGCCTGCTGTGTGCCAGCTCAGTTTAAGCAGCTCTGGGAATAGAGTGGCCAATAAGAACAGACAACTCCCACCCTCAGGAGCTTGTGAATATTTTGTTGGGTATAGGGAGTGAGCATATCTGTGTATATATATGTGGGAGCACAGAAAACAAAAAATAACTCCAGAAACTAAGTGCTAGGAATAAATAAACAAGGTTGATAGGAAGAGGGGAGATCAGGAAAGCCTCTCTGAGGAGATGACATCTGAGCCAAGACCTGAATGATAAGAAGGATACAGTCATACAAAATGTTTGGGGAAGACTATTCCAAGCAGGAGTAGCCTGTCCAAAGGCCCTGAGGCAGCACTGTCTGGAGCAGAAGGAACTCCAGAGCAACTGGGCAGAAGAGCTAGGGGGAAAAGGGTTAAGTGACTTCCTGGGACTATTAGCAATTAATGGGGACTGAGCGACTTCACTTTCACTTTTTACTTTCATGCATTGGTTAGGGAAATGGCAACCCACTCCAGTGTTCCTGCCTGGAGAATCTCGGGGACGGGGGAGGCTGGTGGGCTGCTGTCTATGGGGTCGCACAGAGTTGGACACAACTGAAGCGACTTAGCAGCAGCAGCAGCAGGGCCTCCTCAACTGCTAGTTCTGTGCTTGTTCACTGACCCACACTGAAGCCAGGCTGTGTTTATGAGAGTAACACTCAGGGAGTGGAGAAATGATCTTGGTATCTCACCTCCAGCATTTTAAAAGATGAAATAAATAGCGTGGAATAGGATGGGACAGAATACAATAGATCACAATGCACAGGCAGTAACAATAAGTATTATTTTGTGAAATTGATTTCAGTATATGAATAATATATTTGTGCGCTATTTATATCTTATGTAACATTATTATGTAACATGTTTCTTACTCAAGGTCCTACTGGGGGTAAAAAAGGTCTGAAACACATTTCTAGATCTCAGTGGGTCCAGCCAGCTCTCGGGTTTGAAAAGCACTGCTGATGGAGCTGCCTGAGAATGTTCACCTTCCTTGCAGCCTCCCATTCTGTCTGTCATTCTGTCTGAGCTCTGAGAACACAGGCTTCTTAGGTAGCTGGCCTGAGTCAAACAGAGAATTGCACAGGAGGAAAACTCGATTCTGAAACAAAGCCAAAAGGACAAGCAACCTGTCCTGCAGGCTCTGCTGCGCCCCATCTGTTGGAGCAGTCTCTCCTGAACCCCTCGCCTCTCCTGGCTGCACTGGGGTGGGTTCCTGCCGGTGACCCTTCCGCCCCTCTCACTCTGCACTCTCCTCTCCAGGTCTTCAAGAAGCCCAGTCCCTTCAGCCTCATCAGCCAGTTTTCCCACCCAGAGACCCAAGATACCATCCACACCCTGGACGAGGAGGCCTTCCCCAAGGTGACTCCAGAGTTGAGGAACTCAGATGTGCACGGCAGCACTGACAGTGGCTTCGACAGTGCCAAGCCATCACTGCAGACTGATGAGCCCCAGTTCCTCCTCCCTGCCTCCGACCCCCAGGCCGGGGGGACTCTGAAAAAGGGGATGCCCCAGGAGTTGGAGAACAGCTGCGGTAGTGGAGGCAGCAGCAGCAGTGCAGACAGTGGGATCTGCTTGCCAGATCCCCGCCTATGTCCTGGCGCGGAGCCCAGCTGGGAGCTGCAGGTGGGGAGCGACAGCCGGGACCGGGAGGACAGTGGCATTGGCCTGGTGCAGAACTCTAGGGGACAGCCTGAGCATGCTCAGGGTAACTCAGCTTCGGGCCATGTGAGTCCCCTGGGACCTGAGGAGCCTGCAGAAGAAGACCCAGGGGCAGGGGCCTTCCAGGGCTACCTGAAACAGACGCAGTGTCCAGAGGAGAAGGCAGACCAGGCAGGTGGCCTGGAAGAAGAGTCTTCCTCAACAGAGTGCCTTGACCCCCAGTTCAGGACGTGCCTGGATACTGAGGCGGGCTGGCCTCTACCAGCCCTGGCCAAGGGCTATGTGCAACAGGACCCCCCTGAAATGACTCTTGCTCCTTCTCAGACCCCTGCAGGACAGTGGGACCGACCAACTGAGGACTGGTCACTCCTGGGCTTGACCAGCTGTGGCAACCTCGGCACATCTGACTGGAGCTTTGCCCATGATCTTGCACCTCTGGATTGTGTGCCAGCCCCAGGCGGTCTCCTGGGCAGTTTTGACTCAGACCTGGTCACCCTGCCACTGATCACCAGCCTGCAGTCAAATGAGTGAGGCAGGCTAAGGACTTGCTTTTGATTTCAACTGCACACTGCCTGGACCCAGAGGATCCAGGGCCCAGAAGTGAAGCACACTTGCTGCAAGCCCAGCACTTTGCTGCAAGCCCAGCAGGCCCAGTAGGTGTTCAGGGCAGGAGGAAGCTAGATTAACAGGATACATAGGTGGCATTGGCCTGCTCTGCAGACAGGGCCCTGCAGACTCTGGCAGAGCTGAGAAGAGCAGGGCAGAGACCTCCCCTCTCCTTGGAACACATCCTGTGCTTTAAAGGACTCTTTGCTCAGGGGGATCATGAGGCCACCAGGCTGAAGTCAGCTCAGTGAGCCAGGCCTCCCCGCTTAGGCCGTCCATGTGTCAGGAGAGCCTCCAGCAGGATGGAGGGCTGGGAAGATGAAGGCATCAGGGCCGCCAATGCAGGGGCCCTGAGGAGGAGGGAGGAAACAGGAGCCAAAGGGAGCTGAGATCCAAAAGGGGGCTTCTGACTCAGAACCCTGGGGATGTCTTGTATCCATCTGCAGACAGTACCCTCTTTCGAGCAAATAGAGCAGCAGCCCCCTGGGGCACTTGGAGTAGCCAGGTCACACACTGCCCTCATCCTGCTGCTCCCGCCACCTTGCTGACAGAACCAGAGAAACCATGGATGTTTGTCCTGGTCCAAACACAGCCCTTCAGTCGCTCTCTGGGCTTGAATACCACCTTATCTGCCCAGGAGGGTCAGAGTTAGGACCTGCACTTGTGTTGCTGCTGATGTCCAGCTACAGGACAGGGCACTGGGCTGGGACCTCTGTCCTCCCAGTGATCAGATGTGATGAGCTTGGACCAGTCACTTCTCAGAATTGGACATTGCTCAGTCGTATCCGACTCTGTGCAACCCCATGGAGACTATAAACTGCCAGGCTCCTCTGTCCATGGGATTCTCCAAGCAAGAATATTAGACAGAGTAGTCATTCCCTTCTCCAAGGGATCTTCCCGACCCAGGGATCGAATCTGTGTTTCCTGCATGACAGGCAGATTCTTTACCATTTGAGCCACTTATCAAAGGGCCATGGTTATTCCATTTGTGAAATAAAGACTCAGTCTCATGCTGGGATGTTGGCCAACCTAGCTTCTGGGGTGACCCCTCCAACCCCACATGATGCTGGGCTGGGAGGAAGCCGTGTCCACACAGAGCTGAGGGCCGAGGGACAGCCCCACGCTGAGGGCTCATCCGTGTAGCAGGAGTGGATGGCATTGTGCTGAGACAGTGACCAGACCCTGGGCCTAGGGAGGGGGCAGGTGTGGGCCCTGCTTCCCCACAGTCAGTTTGGGATCTGTCTGTACCTGTGAGGAGGGAAGCTGTATGACCCCCAGGTCATCCTTGGCCCTGCCTTCTCCGTGGTACTCTTGGAATAAACATCAGGCCCAATGAATCCAGTCAGAGCTCCTCCACTCTGCCAGGAAGCTCATAGATGCCAGTCCAATAATAATTCCCTTGAGAAATAGGTCTGAGGGAGGGCTTCTCAGCATTTCCTTGGAAGGTTTATTTATTTATTTATTGAAAAGGCAGCGTGGTCCAGGGAAAGAGTTCTGGGCATTTCGAGAGCCTAGGAGTTCTCATTCTGACTTCATTGTTCCTAGCCTTGTGACCTTGGAAAGTCACCTTTCCTCATCTATGAAACCAGGAAATGTTGCCTGACTTGTTTTGTTTATAAGGTTCCACTGAGAACATGAGTGCGAATGTGGCTTGAAACACAAGGCCCTGTTAATGAGTTGATGTATGTTTTTTCTTCCAATAAATTGTTGGGATCACAGGAATCTCGGGAAACCAGTCAGATTTCTGATGACACAGTGGCTGGTAGAGGCGTGACGTTATTGATGATCAAGGATGATAATGAATAGGATGTGTGACGTCAGTCAGATTTCAATGACACAGTGGCTGGTAGAAGTGTCAAGTTATTGATGATCAAGGATGAAAATGAATAAGATGTGTGATGTTCCTTTAAGGCAGCAAGACTGAGGACTCACACTCAAATCCGGTCTAATTCCTCATGTTACCATTTATTGCCTGTGACCTTGGGCAAATTCCTTACTAAGTCCCTGTTTCCTCATCTATAAAATGGGAATAATAATTCCTCATGGGGATGTTGGGAGGTTTAAATGAGATCATACATAAAGAGTTTAACATGTACCAGGTGTGTGGTATTCCAGGCAAAGGTAGCTGTCATTGCCTTTGGTTTTCTTTTTTTAAATTTTTAATTGGAGGATAATTGCTTTATAGTGTTGTGTTGGTTTCTGCTGTACGTCATTGACTTTTAAAACTGTAAAGGGAAATGAACAGTTTTTCTTGGAAACTGGTGAAAATGAAAGAGATCTTTAAAAATGTATATTAAATTATGACAAAATTGTTGAAAGAGAATGTAAGCAAAGATAATGAAGGAATTCCCTGGCAGTCCAGTGGTTAGGACCCTGAGCTTTCAGCGACAAGGGCCCAAGTTTGATCCCTGGTCAGGGAACCAAGATCCCATAAGTCACTGGGTGCCACCAAAAAAAAGAAAAAAGAATGATAGTATAGTATAATGTAAAGATTGTGTAATATAATGAGAGATAATGAAAATGGATGTAAATGAAGGGAGTATGCAGAGGTTCTTTGTTGTAATCGTCCAGTCACTAAGTCATGTCCAACTCTTTGTGACCTGATGAACTGCAGCACGCCAGGCTTCCCTGTCCTTCACTCTCTCTCAGAGTTTGCTCAAACTCAAGTCCATTGAGTTGGTGATGCCATCCAACCATCTCATACTCTGTCACCCCCTTCTCCTCCTACCCTCAATCTTTCCGAGCATCAGGGTCTTTTCCAGTGAGTCGGTTCTTTAGGAGGATTGAAAAGGAAACCGTGGGGACAGAGAACACTGTGTTTTGGATGTGAATTCTGACAACTTGAAAGGAGACCCCGATGGCCCCTCCCTTCCAAGAAGAGAGCAAACCCGGTGTCCCTGGAACCCTCCAACTGCTCCCCCTAGCCTGGAAGTGTGTCCCAGAGGTACTTCTCATAAGTGCGGAAGCCATCTGCATTCAATTCTAAAAGCAGCCTCCTCCTTCCCCGAAAAGCCACATGTGGGTTGAGGCTCTTCCCCAAGCTCAGCCCAGCAGGTGGAGCAGACCGAGGGCTCGAGGCCTGAGTCTGGGTATGCTTTGCCCTTTGTCACATCCTGGATCCTCCAGGAGGTGGCCAGGGATACCACGTCTCTGCTCCACTGTGTCGTCTCCAACCACACCTCTCCCCTTTTAATCTGAGAAACTAACCAGTTCTGGGGAAGCACTGATCCTATCGCCTTCACAGAACTTGACTTATCTCACACTGTTTGGGACCTGCTCAGACTTTTGCCCCAAAGGTCTTCTTGTCAGATTGGTAAGAAGTGTGAGATTGGTCACTTTCTCCTGGAACTGAGTGTTGGAAATGGAAAGGCCCCTGGGGCAGGTTGGATGAGGGCTGGCCGAGTCGTTGAATATGAAGATTCAGGAGAGAGGGGGTCCAAGGATGTGGAATGAGTGGGAATTTGGGCTGGATCTCCTCCCCTTTTCAGCTCAGAACACCCAGCACAGCCAGGGCCATGGGAGAATCTGAGAGAGCTCCTCCAAACAGTGGTGAGATGCTGCCAGACTTCTCAGGAGTTTGGAATAAAGTCCCCAAGAGACAGCCTGGTCTGTTCTGACACTGAGAAAACCTCCTGTGAGGGCTTTTCCAAGCTGAGGAATAGGAGATTCTGCGTGTCTATGAGCTAATGGAACTTCCTCTTAGTAAGGAGAGGGGAAATGGGTCAACTCTACTGAAGAGGAAATTCTATTGAACTGTGCTTTCCTGAGTTTGTAAATAGCTATGGTCAAAGGGTCTCCCTTGTCTTCCCCGAAGATTTCCATTTCTCTCCACCCCATTCCCAATGTACACAGGGTCACAGAGCACGCACGACTCCTGAGATAGTCCCACCCATTTCACCTAATGGAGCCCCCAGGGCAGCGCGGGTTGCGGGGGAGGGGGATGTGTCTCTGAGCCCCACCTGCAAACAGCAGAGAAGGGGGCGCTAGCATGGTGCCCACCTGGGACAGTACGCTGGTAACCGAGCGAGGTAGTTCTAGCAGTTAGGGCTGATTTTATCAAGCCCCAATCTAGAGGACACTAGATACTTGGAACGCATGACTCATCATTTCCTGTGGTGCTTATGGGCTTGGGGTTTCTTTTAAAGCAAATCCACAATTTAAACATTTGTATTAATCACTTATGATCATTTTTATTACTGATCCACCACACCTTTCCTCACTATCAGCTTGATCTTAACTTTGTTATCACTCCCATAAACATTCAGAAAGGGTGCTGGTAAACACTGACAGGGTCCAGTAAACACTGACAAAAGAAGGGTTGGGTGCAGTGAAATTTGTGTTTCAGAAAGATAACCCTGGTCAGCCCCCGAGGCGTGAGTCAGAAGGGACGAGGTAGAAAGCTGAGAGAACTGGTTGGAGGCATTCTTTACCAGCATTTCATTTCTTCAAGAAGTATATTAGTAACCTCTACTATGTGCCCAACGTGGTACTCAGCCCTGGGTCAAGAGTGGTGAACAAAAGATGCACAGCTTCATGGAGGGCACCTTCTGGTTATGAAGGTAACCACCAAGCTACTCAACAACAAGTATATGTTACTATAATCACTGAGAAGCATCATGAAAAACACTACTATCCACACAGCAGATGAGGGCAAGAGGCAGAGAAACGGAACGGGAGATGTATTGGCTCAAGCTGCTACAACAAAATACTGTAAGGCTGGGTGGCTTCAACAACACAAAATTATTTTCCATTGTGCTGGAGGCTGGGACATCCAAGACCAAGCTGTTGGCAGGTTCAGTTCTTAGTGAAGGCTCTCTTCCTGACTTGCAGATGAGGCTAAAGATTCATGATGGGTGCTTCTCCTTCTCCTTACTGAGTGGGATGGGATGGAGGAGGGGTGGCAGAGAGCTCTGGTTTCTCTTCCTCTTCTTACAAGGACCCTTTTTTCCATTGTGAGGGCTCCATTCTCACAACCTCATCTAACCCTAAGCACATCCCAAAGGTTCTGCCTTCTAATACCAGCACTTCAGGGGTTAGGGCATCAACAGATGAATGGCAGGACCACAAGCATTCATTCCACACCAGAGGCTTAAATGATAATCCAATCGAATGAGCAGGGACCGTGGAAATGGAAAGGAAATGACAGATTTTAAAGACATTTTTGAAGGGAGAATTGGCAGGACTTGATGATTGGCTGGAGTGAGAGAAACAGGAACCAGAGGTATTGATACTAATCATACTTCAGTATGGGTTTCCCTGGTGGCTCAGACGGTAAAGAATCCGCCTGCACTCCAACTAATAAAAATAAATGAAAAAAAAAAAAAAAAGAATCCGCCTGCAATGCCGGAGACCTGGGTTTGATGCCTGGGTTGGGAAGATCCCCTGGAGGAGGGCATGGCAACCCACTCCAGCATTTTTGCCTGGAGGCTCCCCATGGACAGAGGAGCCTGGAGGGCTACAGTCCTTGAGGTCGCAAAGAGTCGGACACGACTGAGTGACTAAGCACACATACTTCAATGTGGATGGTAAAAAAAAAAGTGAAGTGTGGCCCTGGAAGGGAGATATATGGGCAGGCGATAGAGGGGAGATGGTGAGTTCTGGAGTCGATATGACAAGTCAGCCAAGGGAAAGTTCCTCCAGCCGTTGGCAAGGCAGACCTGACACTGGATGAGGGCTCGGAGCTGAGGATTCAGATGTGAAAACTTTAGTGCTATGATACGCTTAGCTTGCATCCACATCCAAAGGTGTGGAGAAGCCCATCAAGCCCCCCTGCAGTTAGAATACTCATCTGATGATCACTCACCTTGAGAAAACTGGGCTGCCATCCCTCCACTCTTAGTGACACCTGCGCTGGGCACCTGACTTGCAGATCCCAGTGTCATTGGTGCCCTGTTGTTCCTTGGACAATGACAGCCCATCACAAGGGTGAAGTCAAGGGCTTTTAGTAACTCAGCTGCTCTGTAGGGCTGGTTAGCTCTGGGGTAGACATGAGGCGGGGCCTCGTAAAGACTGACATGTGACTGCCAGAGGTCCGGGTATGAGTGCCACACTGTGTACCTCTACCTGTACAAAGAAGGAGGGGCTGGTGGAGGGTAAGTCTTCATGATGGCCCTGAGAGAACAGAAACATTCTTTAGAATCCTGCTACCTAGTCACCCCAATGCTGCTGCTGCTGCTGCTGCTAAGTCGCTTCAATTGTGTCCAACTCTGTGTGACCCCATAGATGGCAGCCCACCAGGCTCCCCCGTCCCTGGGATTCTCCAGGCAAGAACACTGGAGTGGGTTGCCATTTCCTTCTCCAATGCATGAAAGTGAAAAGTGAAAGTAAAGTCGCTCAGTCGTGTCCAACTCTTAGCGACCCCATGGACTGCTGCCTGCCAGGCTCCTCCATCCATGGGATTTTCCAGGCGAGAGTACTGGAGTGGGGTGCCATTGCCTTCTCCACACCCCAATGCTAGCACTATTCTTTGTCCTCCCCTTCCCATCCTCTACCTATCCCTCAGAACAGTTTCTCAAAGTATAACCTACATTTGAACCACCTGGGGCTACTTGTCTTCCTAAGCTTCTCTCCAAGGTTCCAATTTTCTAAGGCTAGTTCCCAGGGACCTGCTTAGTCAGTAAGTTACAAATAATCAAGTTTCAGGTGATTCACATACACACCAAAGTCTGAGAGTCACTCCTTTGGAGAACAGCTTGATGACTTGCTGCCTGTTCTGTTAAACTCAACCCTTCTCTCCTCACTACTCCTAGAGGATA